GCGGGCGAGTCCGCCCGGCGCGGCAGCCCCGCAGCGCCCGACTTACCCGATCGCAGCTCCGAGAGGCCTTTCCTCTCACGAGACATGTTTGCGGGTCACTTCGGGGCCGCCGGCGGGACAGCCCGCCGCCGAGGGGAAGCGGGGACGGTGCCGCCGCCTGCCCTGTAGCTGTCAGTGTGTGCTCACGAGCCGAGCCTCGGCTCCACCATTCAAGCAACGGCGGCGGAGGCGGAGGAGGAGGAGGAGGAGGAAACAACAACTCTCAGGCAGCGGCCCCGGCTGCGGCCGCCTCCGCCGGGATCCCTCCGCCACAGAAAGGAGTCCGCGCCTTTCGCGGCCCGCACTCGCCGCCCCCGCCCCACGCGGGAAAAGGAGTGCCTCGGCCTAGGCCTAGCGCCCGCGCTGACACCCCTCCGCGCGGCCCGGGCCGCGAGTTATTTCTCTATTGGCAGCACGAAAAGATGCCGGAGCCGAAACGGCGGGCTGCTTGGCAGGCGCTTTCTCTAAGGAGGCCGCCCGCGGGAGGGAGAAAGGGAGGGAGGGAAGGAGGGGGCCGGCACGGCTGCGCGGAGGGATCTGACGCACACGGAGCCGCAGCACAGGCTCTATTCAGTGGCGCTGGCTGGGCTGAGATGGAAGTTAGTTTCTATGTAGCAGAAATAGGAAACAAATGAAGCAAAACTGCCCAAAGAGGGGAAATGCCGGGAGGATGGGGCTCACTCTCACGCACGCACAGAGACACTCTGGGAGCACTCTCACGCTGGGCCAAGTCGGGATCGCGCCGCCCTGCCCGACTTGAACGCTAGTGTTTGCTTTCTGTCTTGCCATGTGCATGTGTATAAATGCTGCGGATTGGCATCTGTGTAAGTCTTGTCCTGCAATATTTCTGCAGCCTGTGCAAGTGTTGTGTAATTTATTGGAGTGCCGTGGATTGCAATAGAGGTTCGGGCTGCCTTTTTTTTTTTTTTTTTTTGTGAGGCACTTGCGTTTTGCAAACCCGTTATTTCCCGAAGCCACCTCTGCATATTTCTTTTATTACTACCATTGCCTGAAGCGTTCGATTTTTTAAAAAAAATGTTTTTGTTTTGTTAAACGGGCAAGAGGAACTCCAGATTTGTACTTCAGACCATCTTTTCCCCCTTATTATAAAAAGGCTAGTGATGGCTAATTAGGGATTTGGGAGTGAAGAACCTTAAAGCTTTTTAAAGTGTTTACAAGAAGGGCTAATATAAACCTGAGGAAAAGGAAAGGACGCTAGCTAATACTTATCTCTAACTGATATGGAGGTAAATTACTGACCGGTCGATAACCCACCGAAGGTTATTGAAAGAGAATATTATAGTTTAGCCAAGGTGATTAGTGATTAAATAATTTAAATTATCTGTGTATCTTGCAGTTGACTTCGTCATGCTAATTAATGGCTTCTAATTTGAGGTGTAAACCATTCCTGTTTACAGTTAATCACGAGAGGACTTTTTAAAAACAGACACAAAAATCTTTCGTAAATCACAATGTAATTACTGGTTTTATATGATAAATCGTTCATCTTTGTTTTGCTGATGAGGATAGGGGCCTTGTGATTTTTAAAACGAATATGGGTGAAATTAATGGAAACAATGGAAAATGCCATTTCTTAGAAAACAAGGACACCAAGTGATATTTATCTCCAGATGATTTAAGCACTTTCCAAAAAGGCTCTGAGAGTTCAATTTTTTTAAAGGTTGGCATTTAAAAGAGAATTAGGATAGTCCTTCTTTTGTTAATCTTTAACAAAAGATCCTCTTTGAAAATTTTAGATAATAAGCTGCATTTTTATGGGTCTGATTTTAAAAGGTAATTTGCGAGGTAAGGACCAAGAAGCTGTGTTGTGGTTTTCCCGGATTGTTTCCTCAAGCCTTGCACCCTCCTAGCTTCTTGCCTTCCTGGTGGGAAATGCTGCAGCTGCCTTGGGCTGCACTGCAAGAGTGCACTGAAACCTCAGAAATTCTCACACGTGTAAGCAAGAGGCAACAACCTCCACCCCTTTGGAATAATGGGATATAGAATTGCCTTTTGTAACTCAATAAAATAGAAATGAGAGGTTACCATGATTGGTCCTATCACTGCCTCGTTTCCAGAACAACTGCTTGCAAACTGGCATGGCTATTCTCAGATTCTAAAATGTTTGCATCTTTAAAAGCGTTTTATTCTTGCAGTGATAGGTAAAATAGCTTGTTTCTAGGTGGTTAGGCTTAAGAACATTTTATATGTCTTTTGCAATTGTATTTATTTATATGACTGATGGTGTTTTACCTTCTTAACATGTGTTATGTTCTTCAGATAATTATGATAGTCCATTGGGAAGGTCTTTAAATCAGCAGATTTTGAGAACTAGAAATTCTACTTGAAGTTTTCTGATTCTGAATGCATACACTAATCTAATTCTTACTCTTAGATTTCTTTTTATCCTTGTGAAATAAAGTCAAATTTCAAACGTAATGTAAAATTTCTCTAGATAAAGTTTTCTGTGCATTTCTTGTATGTCTTTGAGTGATATGCAAAGCTATCATGATCATATCATGTATGCTTCTCAAGCAGAAGCCTTGGAAGCTTTTCATGAGACTAAAATCAGAAACAAAAAACTTGTTTAAGAACAGCCTGCTTTTGTCTGAATATGATATTCCTATCATTTTGACTAACCTTTGACAATGTTTTAGTTTCTTTTTGAAATACTTAGTTTGAAAACAGTGTAAGCTTGCCTTTAAACTAATTCCTATCAATGCTTTGTATTAAAAATACAGAATACAAAAATTAAAAATCTTTTCTCCCATTCTCTCAGTTCAATAAAGTATTGTTTTCCCTCTAGATGTTAAATTGCATCCTGCTAAGTCCATTAATTTTTTTTGAAAAAAAAAGACCACTTCACATAAGTTTCTTTAACATCAAACATAAATCATTTCAATTAACTGGAGTTTGCTAAGCCATTTATTTTCACATATGTGTGCAAAATGTCTATGTTTATCAAATAGTTCTCACTTAGAAATCCTGTGTTTTGCTCCCAAAGCAGAGGTGTGTACAGTTATCTTCACAGGCAATCTGTTTCTTTATAAAGATAGTTTAGATTTGACCCGCACCCCTTTATGTTTTTATCTCTTTCATGTACCTCAGAAGTGCCATGAAGAAAAATAAAGCTCTCCATGAATTTTAACTATGAAGGTGAACAAAAAAAAACGAACAAAAAAAAACTCATAAAACAAATGAACAAACAACACTGAAAGAAGAAAGAAGTCTTGGAAAACTGAAACTAATTTTTATATGATAGTTATAAACTTCTTTAAAGTTCCTATGGCATCCCATCCTGAACCCTTGGCATCACATGAACAAAGCTAGACACTGAACAAAAACTCTGTGTTGCTCTTGAGAAGCAATAATTCGTTTTTTTAAAAAAAATCTGCCTTTTAAGTCTTCTCTAGACTAAGATTAATACTAATTACAGTTCTGTTACGTTTCTGTAGTATGTTGAATAACACATAACTAAAACTCATGGATTCGGTGTGTTACCTTATATGTTAAGTCATGTTTCTGTACTAGTGTTATGTTACCTTTATGGGTTTTGGTGGGACTATTACATTGTTTTGTTATTTTGTAATGCTGGGCGCTGAACCCAGGTTCTTGCTCGTGTTGCATAGGCAGTCTACCATTGAGCTATATATTCTCCGGTCATATGCCGCTTTCATAGCAAAAGGCTTCACCCAATGAAATAAAAAAGTAGAAAGCATCCTTCTCCAAAGAATACCTTTTTAAAAACATTTGCTCTGAAGAACAAAATTTACATCATGCTATTAGAAGGGCATTGTCTGATAAGCCCCACTCCTGTGGTTTGCTCTCCACCACTGTGTGTTTCTGCCATGGCTGTCTTTCCCTTCTCACTTACACCCCTCTGTCTCCACAAAGTGTTAATGTCAAATCTGAAGTTCATGAACAGCTACAGTACAGTATTTTGGTGCCTTTAGAAAGAACAGGGTTAATTTACTTTAATAAACACCCATCATTTAATAAGGTTTTTGGTGTTTAATGTTATTTAATGGTTCTCCATTATTAGATCACTGAAAGAGCCTTTTACAAAAATTGTAATACATTTCCTTATAATGTGTAACAAAAATTAACTAGATTCCAGCAATCATATATTCCCACCCCAAGTTTAACATTAGTAAATCATTCAAGTTTTTTTCCTCCAAATTAAATGATCCTGTTAGCTTACAATTTGTACATGTTAATTTATAAAATAAATGCATATCTTCATGGATAAATTTACACATTTTTTTAAAAAATTACTTGATAACAGTAAAGTTGTCTATTGCAAAAGAAAAACAGTTTTAGAACACATTTCTCTAAGATTCGAAGCAGCACAGTAAATGAAGTTAAAAAGGCTGCTTCGGGGAAGAAAACATAAACAAGTCTGCAGGCTTATTCTATCCTACAAGGTGCTTGATGGACAGGGAGTGGGCTGCACTCACAGAGATCAGTGGGAAAGGAAGGTGGGGAAGAGGTGCCAAGGCTCCCAGAAGTCGCTGCTGGAGGTATTCTAAATGAAACATTTTATTATTAATGTGATATTTAAGATAGAATTGCAGGACAGGAGTTAATCATCTCTTGTCTTTATATGCGCTTAATTCTTAAACTTCAAGACTCCCAAAGAATAAAAATCAATTTAGTTATGGAAAGGGAAGGGAGGGAGGCTTATCTAACAAATGTTGAGAAATTTTCTCATGAGAAAAATGCTAGGATTCAAAGGAATAAGAGCTAAACTTTCAGATTGCTAGTAGAAGTCAAGTCCAACTCAAGAGTGAGAATTAAATTAGTTCTAATGAAGTTTAAAGATGTGACTGACATTAGATTTAACCCATTTGGTAATCTAAATGTTCTTCCCAATCTCAGAGTTAGGAAATCCTAGAAAATAGGAGGCCTAGCTATAACCTATCTGTAAATTGTGTTTGTTTTAGTATATATGCCTACATTTTGCAAAGACTGAAATATAATTGGCTAACACACACTAGGATATCCATCAGACCCTTACAGAATAATACCAACATTATTCTAGGGAGATATGTGTGCTGAAGTTTATGAAAAGCTTATAATTAGATTCTGGGATTACAAATCCTATTACTTTCATAATTCTCATGCTTATATTCAGGTGTGAAAAAACCGTACTGCAAGAGAGTGATTTTATAGACAAACAACCTTTCCACAAGACACTGTAGTAAGGACACAGTACGGTTTACCTTCAACAGTTATTACATGTCGGATCACTGGGCATCCCTGGGGGACAATCTTACCAGTATTGAGAAAGTAGAATCACATGAGAAGGAAGAAATTATTATAACATTATTTTGTTGTTACTGTTCTACCACTCTTACCCTGGCTTAGCATGACTTCTTGACTTTTAAAAATTATTTTTAAGAAAATCAAAATGGACAATTTCCATTTTTCCAAACTCTCCTTTTTTCTCTTTTTATTCCATGGCTTTTCATGTCACACTGCGTGCTTTTTCTAGTCAGTCTTGGGTTTCTTCATGCCTCAAATTTTCGCCTTCCCCCAAAACTCTACATTTTCAGTCATTTTCAAAATATCTAAAAGTTTCCTCCTCCTCCATCACTGAGACTTTAGTTTCTAATGGGAAATTCAGTATGAGAAGGAAGATCCTTAATCAACTCAAAAATAATTTCCATTTGATGTGGTTGTGATTTGGATCTACTGTAAGAACTCTTAAATATATGTATATATACATATACAGATGAATCTAGTCGCTACATTTTAACTTTGAGGCTATCAAACATTAAAATCATCAACATCTCTAACTTCCAACTGCTCTGGTTGTTAAAGGAAAGGCTGGAAATGATTTTCACACACAAAAAAAATAATAAAAAAGCAAGGCCTTTTGCTTTCTCCCTTCATCCCTCCCTCCTTTCCTTCCTCTTCCTTTTTTGCTTCCTTTCTCTATTTTTCCATAAACATAAACAAATGAAGTCTAAACAGGGGTTTTCTGCTTGTGCAGTGTGTGTATAATTTTTATATTACTTTTTTCAATGTTTTGACCAAGTCAAGAAAAGCAAGGGCTCTTCAGATATTAAATTTCACTCAGAGAAATTAGTGAATTTTTAAATATTATTTTTGATTTTCTCCAATTCTTAGGTTTTGATGCTTCTAGCACTTACATAGGCTTGAATTTCTTTATGACTAATATTCCCTAACTTCACCTCTTTACAAAATTTAAATAAGGAAATGCATTTGATTATTAGGTTCAGATCCCATACTAGCTTAAATTTTAAAAAGTAACTTATGTTATAAACTTGGGAAATCTGCTATTGCTCAATTATAAAGATATTTTCCTCCAATAATTATTACCAGACACTTTTCTTTTATTAGGATAATTATTAAAGATTGTTTATTCCTTTGGTCATCTGATTCTTTTCCTTTTTGTTGTTTGCTTATTTCTTATTTATTTTATTACTAAACTATTTCAATAGAACTTTACTTTTTAAAAGTAAAAAAATGAATGAGAGTATCTATTACAAGCTCTGGTAGCGTATACTACTTCTGTGAAGATGTATTTTTTTTTTTCTGGACAAAAGTGAGTTGACATGGAAACCCCAAGTCCATCTCTAGCATCTGCCCCTTGCCCCTGTCTGCCTCACTTCATACAATAGTATCCTCATTGCAAATTCTTACTTTCTGTGTACTAGCCGAAGAAACATCATTTAAATGTCAGTTTGCAGTTTGGGCCCTCATTATCCACCTTGCCCCAATACACAAGGTGCACAGATCGGCACAGGTGGTCCGGAGGCTGAGTCAATGTGAGGCACTAGCATCCCCATCTAAGGGTGATACCTGCAAAGCAAAGGTTTTGCTGGTGGTCTGGCCTGTCTCCCTCAGTGATCAATTATTAAAATCAGGCTTTATTTAGCAGCAGTTGATTGCATGGACTGCAGGAGATATGAATCAATGGCTCTATATATCTCTTCAGTTTAGCTTTAGAGTATTCAGAGACCTAAAATAGAAGCAATGGATATACTTATTACATTCGACTATGTTTTTGTGTGTTAACCTAATTTCTTATAGCACTAAAATGTAAATTTCAGAAGTCCAGGAAAAGATATTTTTGACAAATTTTATGAAATAATCACCTAAGTACAACAAGACTTCTTGAAGCGAGGGTGGGGTTTTTATATTTGAAAATTAACTAATTTCCTATAAGCTAGTTTTCATCATTCAACGAGATGTGGAGAGGTTTTGAGCCAAAAGGTCTTGTAGCCATGCTAAGATTGACACTTATAAACTAGAATCGAAGTCTCATCCACACTGACAGGTGGGTGAGAGGACGCAGCAGGTAATCCCTCCCAAGCCTGCAACTTGAATGTCATCCTCAGGCCCTACACTGTAGAAAAAGAAAACTGATGCCTGCAAGTTGTACACTGACCACACCTTCCCTCCCAAACAAACACACTAAATAAATATACATGTAATAATTTTAAAGTTGTATTGACTACAAAAATTCATAATGTGCAGGGTTTTCCTTCTTGTCTAGTTTTCAAAGTCACAAACCTATATTCTCATTTTTTAAAACATTAAGTCTTGGGCTTAGGAGTACAGATAGTAGAACAGCAATTGCCTAGCATGTGCAATTAATGCCTAACACTGAAAAGAAGTTCAATACTTTGGGATAATGCTCTTGTACACTGTAAAGATTTGTCACTTGTTTTGGTTTAATAAAAGGCTGATTGGTCAGTAGCCAGGCAGGAAGTAGGAGAATTCTGGGAAGAGGAAAGGCAGATACAGTCACCAGCCAGACATAGAGGACTCAAGATGAGAATGCCTTACTGAGTAAAGGAACCAAGCCACATGGCTAAACATAGTTAAGACTTATGGGTTAATTTGAGTCATAAGAGCTGGTAGTAATAAGCCTGAGGTATGCCAAACAGTTTATAATTAATATAAGCCTCTGTGTGTTTCTTTGGGACTAAATGGCTGTCCCATGTGGGACAGAATCTTCTGTCTACATTTTAATTCTTTCTTAAACCAGGATAATTATTCTTCTAGAAACTGAGTAATTTTCAAAATCAAATTTTAAAATGACTTCATTGTGAAAAACTTTCAAATACTCAAAATTAAATAAATAGAAAACAACCAATGCACCCAATTCCCAATGTTGATAATTTTCCAAATTTTAATAATTTGGTTTTTATGTATCTTCCCCAACCAGCCCTTCTGATTAACTGTTTTAAAGTTAATTCCAACATTGTTCCTGTAAAACAGTGTGAATACAGAAGTTGATTTCAAACTACTTATTTATTGATTGTTGGACTCAGTTATTTGCTACCTCTGCTAGGCATATGTTGAGTGTGACCACATTCTTCAGTCTGCATTTAACCCTGGAATTGGCTGGACCCAAAACTAAAGGAGCCTTTAAAGAACACTTTGACTAGAAACAAACTGATAATCGGTGGAATCACATTGTTCAACTATTTCAGCCCTTTCATCATGTTCCATGACACCTAGCTAGTAGAGATGACATTTGAAATGTCCTATAAAAAAATCAAGGATGATCCAAGTTTTCCATAATGTTACAAGGCCATGGCCTGTCCCCAAAATCTCTGTGCTCAACTGGATCTCATGAGCCATGATTTCTTTACTATCTTCCAAAGAAACATTGAATTTTCTGAAGATTACATTCTTATTATTATTTATTATTTTTGCAAATACTGGTATCTCTTCTAGAATCTTCACTCCAAACCAGGTCAATCATATGCAGTTTTCAAGACGCAAAGCATAAAAGTTGCCTGTTTGGGAAACCTTGCTTCCTGAAGAAAGAACAAGTGAAAGCTACTAGCAAAGAAGCCGTAAGCAGCCCATACTCTGTGCTTCTACATAAATTTTGTGAGTCTTTATAGTCACGAAACATTCAAGTATAGTAAAGTTGTCGTTGTCGTCGTCGTTTCTAGCTAACTGTATATTTGTTTTATTTCAGTATCTTTGACAGACACCATGACCAAAAGC